CTATTATTTTTCCCAAATATCCTGGGGATACAACATTTAAAGATATTTCCCACTGGGAAATTTCACTTTCCCCCCTCCTTTTTATTTGCCTTTTCTTCTTTTTTATTTAACAAATCAAAAGAGGGAACAATTTCCAGTTACTTAATGCATGCCTTATTGTACCTCTTCATGTATAAAGCTATTTTGAAAAATAACTTTAGAGCATGCTTATTTTGAAAAGCCTCATTTTTTTCCTCTGATCTCCAGCTCAAGTATACTTGAACTGCAATGGTTTTTCTTCAAATATCTCTCCTGTGAACAACTTGGGATTGGAAAGCAAAACTGGTTTATTTCATGCTCTTCCATCATCACCAATAATAAAGATCTGAGATTAAATTATGCCCTTCCTTGTTGATTCCAATACTCTGGGATAAAAAGCTTTACTTACAATTTCCTTTGCCTTGTTTTGTATATTTAAAGTACACTATGTCATACATACAGAGCCAAATGCATTTATTCCTTAGCAATCCAGTGAAGCTCACTGAGGTATTCTGTAATTCCCAGGCATAGTTCTGCCTTACAACAAGCATTTAAAGTCTCTCTTGAAAGCACAGAATTAGACAAGCTGGTAATACTTGAGATGCATATGTTATTTTCATGCAAAATTATACTTCCTTCTATCTTTTCTTGTTACCATGCTGAACATAATGAAAATTGTACCATAGGGTGGAAAGGAAGGGACTATTCCTGTGTAAAAGGTTCCCCTCTCCATTCCTTTCATATTACTATATTCTCTAAAAAAATCAAGGTAATAGACCAAGAGCAAGCCCATTTTATACAGTTTTTAACAATTATCATTTTAACCCTATCATGTATCAGTATATTATACCTGATGTAACCTTTAAGAGGGTATTAGTCAGCAGAGACATCTGCATTTGTAGGAGATTCACCTCTTAAAAGTTTTATTCCAACAGGCATCTTGGAAGTATAAGTCATGAGAAAGGGAATACTTTTCCTTACAAATGGAGTATGAACATAAATCCCCTTTCCCTATGAAATAACTATCTTTTCACTTTGTCTTGTTCTTCCCAATCCCCTTTGTGGAGGAAAAGGGAAAGCATTTTATTTACCTGTTTTACAAAAAACCTAAGTTCGTTGAAACCTTGACAGAGAATATATTAGAACTGATTAACTGACTTCACTGGATTCAAATTATCAGTGAACCTTGTAACACAATAGCTTCATAAATTGTTTGGGTGTTTTATAAGAGAAATAATTCAAAAAAGACAGAAAACATCACACTGAAAGTTGAGGATAGAGGCTAACACAGTTTAGAGCCCATTGGTAAAGTACTATCAGGTAAGCATTTCTGCCCTTGGCTTTTTAATATATTCACAGTTTCAGGTGAGGAAAACCTGCTTATCCTAGTTCCGCTAGAAAAATGCAGAGTGACTCCACTAAGTTAATTATAATTACATTAGACAAGTTCTTCAATATTCTTAAACCAGAAAAAAATGTATCAAATAATTATAAAGTTATAATGTGGTACAGAATCACAGAATGAATTAGGTTTGAAATGACCTCCAAGATCACCGAGTCCAACCTATGACTGAACACCATGGTGTCAACTAGACCATGGCACTGAGTGTCAAATCCAGTATTTCCTTAAACATTTCCACCAGGAATCGCCCTTTCTGTGAAGAAATTCTTGATATTATAATTCAATTCTTCAGATATTACAATATTCAACCTAAACCTTCCTTCCCAGGCACAACTTTAGACTGTGTCCTCTTGTCCTGTCCTTTGTTACCTGGGAGAAGAGCCCAAACCACACTTGGCTCCACCCTCCTTTCAGGGAGCTGTACAGAGTGATTAGATCCCTCCAGCTCTCTCGGCCTCTCCTCACAGCACTCGTATTCCAGGCCCTTCCTCCCCTCCATAGCCCTTCTCTGGCCCCACTCCAGCACCTCAGTGTCCTTCCTGAACTGAGGGCCCAGCACTGGACACGGCAGCAAGGTGAGGCCTCACCAGTGCTGAGCACAGGAGGACAGTCCCTGCCCGTCCTGCTGGCCACACTACTGCTGTCACGGGCCAGCTGTCACTGGCCTTCCTGGGCACAGGCTGGATCATGGTCAGCTGCTGTTGACCAGCACCCCCAGTCCTTTTCCATTGGACCACATCCCACAACTTGCATTTTGGACTCGTTTCCTCTTTTTTTTTTTTTTTTTCCCAGATAATTTGAATAGCACATCAACATAATCATGGTTTTTATGATGATTCAGCTGAATTATGAGATACCCTTTTTGTAAATTTGAATGCTATCCAGAAATAGTTACCAGCAATGAATTCCTCTAGATGATACATTCTTGATTTTAGAAATATTTCTGTTTTAAGCAGTGTAAAAATATTTATGGAATGCAGGATTTAAAAATTGTTTTCAGATACAAAGTCAAAAAAAAGATAGAAGTATAATTTCCAAATTACAAATAAATTTTAAAAAAGCCCAAGACAAGTTACATAAGGATTGAATCATAACAAAGGATGTGGAAGAAGTTAATAGATTCAATTTCCCTTTGATAATGTGAGACAGAAAAATACTTTACTATGATTTCCTAGTGATTATTTACTTCTAACAATTCAAAGAATGTTGGATTCCACTGTCATGTTAACAATAAGATAAATGACAACCAATTATGTAAACAGAATCCTTCAGATAAAATTTCTTCACTATTTAGGAATTATGAAATCAAAAGACTTAGCCCAAGCAAGATACATTCCTGTTGATTTATTTAGGATAACCTTCTAGATAATTCTAGCCAAATGGCTTTTATTTCATTAACTAAACTAGCAATCTTAAGTGCACTGGTGCTAAGAATCTTAAGTACAGAATTTCCAGAAGAGAAGAACTTCACTAGGTTAGAGGACTTCAGCCTCAAGCCTGTTCTATGTCAAAAATGAAATTTGACCTAGATGTACTATGCTTTGTATAATTCCTCAGTCAGGTGTCTGTGCAAGAGTTCAAAATAAACTCACATTTCCTGTTTTTCAGTTAAGACTGGCTGAGACTGTTTTGCCATGAAAGCTTAAATGTATTTTAGAAAAAAATTACCAAGAGGGTGAATATCTCACTAGATGATATAGCCAAAGCAGTTAAACACCCTCCTCTTAAAACAGTCATCCTCAGCACAGTACATGTTTCACTGAGGGAATTTAAAACAGTTTTCCTGATATTTTGCCTTGGCACAGTATTGTTTTACGTCTAACGGTCTTTCTATAAAAGGCTCTCCCCAGCTATTCTTGACACCTTTTCACTCATTACTGTACCTGTTTCTTGCAGACAGTAATTCATCAGCTAAAACCAAGCACTGTACGGGGCCTTGGATGCTTTAGCATTTTGTAGTGCTGAGGGTCTTCCACTGACAGCTCTGTAATCTGTCATGAGGAGAAACCAAGTTTGAACAGGCCTTGGTGAAACCCACACTGTTATTATGGGAAAAATAATACAGGAGGATAGTTTTCACCATTAGAGATTATCTATGCCATCAGTGATATGTAGGTATCAAAGTAAACAGTATCTACAACTGCTATGAAAAATACTAGGCTGTCTTGCAGATAAAAAGGATTTCTTTCTCATAGCTGATGTTCTGAGAAGAGTATTACTAATACAAAATTACACATATCACAGACTTACACGAAAGTGTTAACAGTCCAGTGTGACGTGAAGAATTAATTCATGCTGCATACTTTTTTTCCCTTACAGGGCATCATTAAGATGCAATGAAGTCTTACCTCTAAAAACCAGCCTGGCACATCCTTAATTCTATAGCCTTTACATCTTCCTGTTAAGGTGGGGTGAACATCACTAGCTGCCTGAATAATGGCTTAATAAGTGTTATGACCTTCTTATTCCTCACCTCCCATTTACATTTAAAACAAACTATCCAAGTCTAAAATTAGCCTGTACTGCAGCTATACTAACTTGCTATTCCACATGAACAGCTACCGTAGACATAGTCTGTAGTTATGTGACTCACTAAACAAATTATTATACCTCTGCTCATGAAAGGAAAAGTTTCCTCATGACAAAGGTTTTAGTCATGCTTTATGAGAAGAGATGAGGCTTACTGAACTCAATTGTGTGTCCTGACAAAAATCACTACAAAACTTATGAACAGGAAAAGAAACCTTTTATCTTTCTGGTGAGTTAACAGGGTGAATCACAGAATCATTTAAGTTGGAAAAGACCTCTAAGATCTAGTCTGCCATTAAACCGTGTCCCTAAGTGCCACATCCAGACATTTTCTAAATACCTGCAGGGATGGGAACTCCCTGGGCAGCCAGTACCAATGCTTCTTTACCATGGCTACAAGTAATATGGAAGTTACCAGCAGTATTACTGATTCTTCCATTTCTGCGGCTCAACTCAGCAATGCATTTCTGCACTTGCTTGGATTTCCCTGTGTAAGCCATTGTCCAGCAGCTCCCCAGCCTTTTTCCATCTCATCCGGCACAGCCTCCCCACGGAGAGCTTGGAGACGTGGTCAACACGGACCAACCCTTAGCAAGCTTTTCACTGGGTGCCAAGGACAGCTTAGGCCCCTTTTTAGATTCTCTTTACCACATTAGATCAAGTCAAGCTCACACACGACGCACAAAGCGTGGGGGCTGGACTCACAGCTCACAGCTGCTTTCGGGAGATGCCCACCCCTCCCGAAATCCCACTGTGCCCCAGGGTGCCCGAACTGTGGCTCAGCATTGGCTCACGCGCCTTCACCCCACGCAAGGCGCGAACAGGGCCGTGCCGCAGCCCCGCACCGCGCACTCGGAGCGGCCCCGGAGCGGCGCGGGAGCAGGGAGGGGAGAGAAAGGGGAGAGAAAGGGGAGAGAAAGGGGAGAGAAAGGGGAGAGAAAGGGGAGAGAAAGGAAACGCGCGGCCATCACCCCGACCGCTGGCTGCTCGCCGGAGCCCTCAGTGCGCAGGCGCCAGCTCCCCGCCGCTGGGGGGCGTGGCCGCGGCCGCGCAGGCGCAGCGCCCACAAGAGCCGCGTCGCGCCTCCGCCTTTCCTCTCTCCCGGCTCCAAGATGGCGGAGTACGACCTGACCACCAGGATCGCGCACTTCTTGGACCGGCATTTGGTCTTCCCGCTGCTGGAATTCCTCTCTGTCAAGGAGGTGCGCGTCTCTCCTAAGGGTGGGAAAGCGGGCTGTGGGAGCGGGAAAGTCGTAGGCCGTGCTGCCAGCTGCCGGTGCTTCCCGTGGGCCTTGGTGCGCCGCGGCCGGGGCTTCCTCCCGTGGGCCTGGGCGCTGCGCGGGTCGGGCGCGGCCCGTGGCGGATTCCGAGCCTCCGTAGGGAGGAGTTCGAGGCTCCTGTCCCGCGTGAGTCGAGGGGCGAAGCGTGTGGGGCTGCCCGGGGAGGGACGGCAGCAGAGCCGAGAGGAGGCCTGAGGGAGCTGCTCCGTGATCAGGCCGCGCAGCTCCTCGGCCCCTCGCCGGCGAGGCAGCGCAGACTTCCTGCACTTTCTCCTTCCTCGTATTTGGCGTAGTGTCTTTTCCTCACCTGTATTTGGAGACAGGAGAAGTCAAAGCTCTCCCTTGCAGCCGCAGTCCCACGGCGTGGTTCACCCTCGGTAGTTCTGCGGCTCTTGGTGCTCGGGCTCCCGCAGCCGGAGCTCAGGGCGGTCTGTGGGGTCACACTAATGCTACTAATTAATTTTAATTTGAAACCCGTGTCGTCACGAATTTGTGTTGGAAACAAATATAAGTCCTTTCTGGAGTTGTCCCTTGTTGGTCTTCTTATGTATATTTTTAAGTTACATTGCTACAAAGAACATGGTAATGCTGGAGGTACCTTAGATGAGTGCTGCAGGTACTTTAGACTAAACTCATCAGTCTAAACTATCTTAAAATGGGAGTGAAATGTGTAAAGTTATGTAAGTTTTGAATTTAAAGTAGATGTTATTTTACCCTCCCGAAAGGAACTGCTGAACCATGCGTGCATTGGGACAACTTGACCTAGCCAGCTGTCGTGTCTAGCGTGTGGAGTTTGCTTCATGCCTCTCATCTTGGGGGCATTTATACATTAGCATTTTTATGTCACCTGAAGTCAATTCAACAGTGAGTTTTGTGGTGTTAGTTTTGACAACACAATGTTCAGAGCTGAATTAAGCTCCTACAGATTCTTTATCTGAGATGTCCACAGGTGTGGTGTGGTGAGTTGTAATACAGCTCTTGTGCAAATACGTTTTTGGGGAATGTACTGGATTTGGCCCTTGCCTACATCTTCAACATCTAACAGCAGTTTGCAACTCACTGATAAATTATGGAGTGTGAACTCTTAGAAACAATTTGAAAAGTTCAAAAGTACATCATTCAATTACAATTAAATTGTGAATTTAATCTTGTGCAGCTCTTCTGAAATCCACTTTAAATAATTTAACTAGTCCTCACTGTTCAGCATTTTATTTTGTGGAAAGTGTTCAGTACTTTGAAAAAAAAGTATTATTAAGGTTTTTTAATTTTTAATATGTATGTAATTTTGCAATAGGAATTACTATTCCTGTTAAGAGCCTAGTAATAGTTACTTGACTTCTAGTTAGCTTTTGAATTACCTGCTTTCATAGATAGCAGAAAATATTTGATATTTTGTCAAGACTGAAAATGCAGAAAGGCTTTATAGTAATTACTCTTAATGATAGAGCAGTGAGATTTGATACTTAAAACAATTCACTTGTACAGAAGTCCATAAGCTGTGCCATAAAAGTAATACATAATATGAATTGAAACTCCTCAACACTATTCAGATGAATCTGTTACTAATTCCTGTTTCAGATATACAATGAAAAAGAGCTGCTCCAAGGAAAACTGGATCTCCTTAGTGATACCAACATGGTGGATTTTGCTATGGATGTGTACAAAAATCTTTATTCCGATGAAATTCCTCATGGTAAGCTGCTCATTAGATGTAAAGCTTGTTTTTCAACTTCTCTGTTTGGCATAATAAATAACTAGTGATAATTGCTTGTTGTGTTCAAAAACTGGAGTACTGTTTAATTTGGGTGTTACCAAAAGGATGTGCAGTACTGAGACTAACAGAATGCCCTAATCCTGGGAAGTTTGGGTTGTTGGTCTGTCAGGAACTTAACCTTTGAGTGAGCTCTTAAATATTTCAATGCTGATTTGGTAATTTCAAGCACTTTGAAAGTGTTGCACTGCAACTAATGGAGTTGCAGTAGCTTTTAATCTGTCAAATTAAACACTTGCACAATGATTTGGTGTTATTTGGTGACTTTTTCTTTAAAGCATCCAGTGTGTTATGATTAGAGTTGCATTATAAGTAATTTTATTGATTTGTCTGTCTGTGGCTGATTTTTAGACTTTGGGACTTTTTTTTTTTAATGTGTGTTTTCTTCACTTTTGGCAATATAAGAATTGCTGCTTCTCTAGGAAGCAGCAATTTAATATTAATATTATAATTAATGTGATTTCTTACTGTTTTGTCCATGATTTTGGTAACTTCTCTGTTTACTACTTAAATTTCTGTCATCTTGAGGAACATTTGGGAATGGAAAGAAAATAGATTTTATGGCTTTGTCTAATTTCCATTCTTCATGGGTATTTTGATTTTAAGAGTTTTGTCCCAATTCTTTTTTTTATGGGTTGTGTGTTTCATTTTGTTGGTTTCTTCCTGATCTAGTCTTTCAATATCCACTGTCTTCCTATTTCTCCATCTTTTTCTCATGTTGGTGAATTCCTCACCTTTTTCTTAGCTATTGGGACTGCAGTCTATTTTGCCTGCATCTTAGGAGGAAGAGACTTGGGTGCTGTTGCATTCTTCCTCTGGGTCTTGCTCTTTTCAGGCTCTTGAAGCTGCAGAGATGGCCACTCATCTCTTTGGAAAAAGAGAATTGATAGGTTTATGGACATTGGAGCCAATGCTTTGACCAAGCCTGTGCTAGCATTAGGTGGGAATTGTTATGGGCATGTGTACCACGACACATGGGACTGGTAACATGTAATGAGAACCAGGGGGTTCACTTCTGTAATCTAAGAAACAGTTCTAACAATAGCTTCACCTTTAGGTTGCTTAACAGTTCTACTGATTAAAAAAGTCAGGCTGTATCAAGGCTATTAAAAAAATCTCAAAGCTGAATAGGTACTTCTCTTTCTTTCCCTGCTTCAGTCTTTTTAAACTGTTGAATATTACTGTTATCAGTAGTAATTAAGGAGTAAAATACTAAAGAAGTAAGCAAGACAAGAAATAGCAATTCTACCAGACTTCCACAAAGTAACTACTCCAAATGTCTTCAGAATTCTGATTGTAGCCAGTTACTTAAGCAGATTGCCTTAGAGTATAACTTTATAAGGTCACAGCTGTAAGAAAGTTGAATGAATTTTTTCCCTTGGAGAGCTCTGCCTTCATGAAAGACCAGAGATTTCCACACTTGTTTGAAAATAGTACAAGAAAAACACTACATCTCTTAAGATTTTAGATCGTCAGTTTGGCAGGATTTTTTTCTTTTAATAATGATTTACTGTTGTTTGATGTGTGGCTTTTATTCAGTTAACATAAGCAGAGCTAGTTCTTTCATGCATTTTTCAGGGTGCTTGCTTGCACAGTTTCCTATGCAGAGGCCTTAACTTCTGGGATCTTTCTGGTCTGTGTCATCTTCTTGTATCAGCTCTTACCAGAATGTGTGTATGGACAGGTGGTTCTTGTGGAATCGCTGGCATCCTTAGAAGTTTACACTGCCCTTTTTTAAGACTTCACTGTTTAAAGTACTCAAAACTAAGTTCACTTAGACAGTTATAATTAGAAATGTCCCTGCACAATTTATAGTTGCTTTTGTCTTGTCTTCCATGAGATCACCTTACAATTACACACCCAGGAGATGTCGCAGGAAAACATTTTCATATTCTTAGTAAGTCTACTGAATGTTTTTTCTTTCACCTGTTTCTTCTTACTCTTTTATAATTTCAAGAGTCAACTGAAGGTGGAGATAATTTCTCCTTATTGGAACACTTCCTGTCAGGCAAGTTGTTCTCATATTTAGGTTGGGTCACCATTATGGTGTTAGCCACTTTGGATGTCCTTTTCAAATATCTGTGTTGTCAAATCATGAAAGAAATGTCGACTCTGTTCACCGTGGCATTGAGTGTTCTGGTGTGTGGCTCACTTTGTTTCCTGCATTTATCTCCTGGGATTTAGTCTTGGCTTCTCTAATCCCATGTGTTTCACATAGCTAATGTCAGGGTGATTTTTCTTGTTTTTTTTTAAACATACGCACTTTTCTAAATTTTAAGTCTTCATTTTATTGCATTGCTAGCACTTGGTGAGGAATTTGGGGTCTGTGTAAAATAATGACCGTAAAACTCTTTAATTGAATTTCCTAACAGGTTTTCCTAAAGGGCTTAATGTTGCAATTAAGCACAGAGTGTTCAAAATCATAATTTTGCAGGTTGAGCTGCTTGAAATTTTTACTGTCAATTCTTAGTTAAGTATGCTCTAAATGGTCTTTCAGAACCTGATCATCAGTCAGAAGAAAATCAATCTTCGTGGTATCATTGGATTGTTTACTTTTTTGCAAGTTTATTTGGAATAAGTGAACTTAGTTAAAGGTTGTTTCTCCCTTAGTGGAAGCCTGAAAGTACCTTGTCTAATAGAAGTTTTTACTGAGTTACAGAATTGTTATACACAGCTGGATTTGAGGCTTGAGAGGACGGGTGAGGTAGGAATTGGGAAGCGTTCAAGTGTCAGCACCATGTAATTACAGCTTGGTTCATGTAAAAACTTAAAGATTATATTAAAGTCTTTTTGTTTGTGTTCAGCTTTGCGTGAGAAAAGAACAACTGTTGTTGCACAGCTGAAGCAGCTTCAAGCTGAAACAGAACCTATTGTCAAGATGTTTGAGGATCCTGAGACTACGAGGCAAATGCAGTCCACTAGGTAATTTCTAACATAATTTGTCAGGATGGCTTGTTGGTTGGTGCTGCTGGGAATGCTTTCTGTGTAGGAACTGCAAGACAGACATTTTTATTTTCATTTTTAAATAGTGCTTGTGGTGTTTAAGTAGTGCTTGTGGTCAGGTGATTGAAATTGCTGGACACAGTTTGCTCTTTTCAGTGCTTTTCCCTGTTGTGCAAAAGACATGTGTTGTTTTTAATGTTTGTGAATGAGCTTGGTACAAGTGACAGTCATCATCCAGTGCAGTCCAGTCACAGGCGCTTTTTTGTTTGGCTTTGATTGGGTTTAGAGTTTTATGAGGGAAGGTACAGGCTGAAACAGTTCATATTTTCTTTCCTGCCTTCCAAAAAAGGTTATGGAGTGTCATATTAGTCAGGGAGGCCTGATGGATGAGCATCCTTTCATCCTCAGAGCACATATTTCTTCACGGTGTTCTGTCCTTCCCACTTACTCTCTCCACCCCCAAACTGTTCCAACTTGTTGGTGTAAGGTTGTGCTCATAATAGTCTTTTGAAGATGTATCCAATTTCTTTTAAATTTTCTTATGGGAGTAATTAAAGTAGAATGAGTTTGTCTGCACATTGTATCTAAGATCTATCACAGTTTCACCATGGTTAAGTTTGAATTGGGCTCTGTAGGAAAGAGTTCAGCTGTAGTTGCTGAGGAGTAACTGCCCCTTCAGCAGAAAGGTGGGCAGGTATTTGTTTGGCATAAATTACTCCTTGTTTCCTTTAGATAAGAATCACTGTTACTGCTGTTGTAAATGTGTCTGACAAACTGGAATAATAATTGGATCCCTTCTTCAGCCTTACCTGCCCATAAATTTTAAATAGAGCATACTGTATCAGGCAGAGAACCTATGGCTTAACTTGAATTTGAAGGTGAAGCCTGTACTTGGGTTTATTGTTGGCAAGCTTTGTGCATCCACTGATACTGTAACATTAGGAAGTCTGTAACATTGCTTCTGGAATTTCTTAGAAAAGCATTGAATATACAGACTCTTCTTTCTAGTCTGTAGAAATCTAGAAATTGTCTGTATGAATATACCTTTTTTTGTGAACAAACTCCCTGAAGAATGTGTCCCTCAAGGGAGAAGAACTTGATTAAAATTTACTGTATTTCGAATACGCATTATCATTCTTTTTTTCTTGCCTCTGTTCTTTGTTCCACTCTTTGTGTTGTTTTCACAATTTGTTATAGATAATTTAGATCTTGGTCGGTGCAGAAATTGAGGTTCAGTGTATTATGTCTCAATGCACACATGGAACAAGATGTCAGTAGGAATCATGAAATCTGTTAGCTTTACAGCACATTGGGAGAAGTTTGTTTTCTGTCCTGATACCACCAAGAATGTATGTAAGCTTCTGCTGTAAAACCATTTTTTATCTAAGTAAACTGTCTTTGCATCTGATTTCAGAATGGATGTTCATGTAAGGTAATTACATGAAGAAAAAGGAATTGCGTTTGTTTATGACTTGTGATTATGCAAAGCCAGGAGTCACTTGCTTTTATAGGTATAGCTTTGAAAGTGAAAGTTACTGTGGCAATTGAGCCTGTCTTAAAACTTCGTATCTAATTGAACATACAGAGGTCTTGTCCAATTCTTGCTTTGCCTTTAGCCAGTTTTTTTAATGATAATTAGCCTAGAAAAATGTTACTGAAATACCAGCATTTCTTGGGGAATATGCTCTGTTACTTGACTTTTGATTCACAAAAGTTGGTCGATAGTATGTACTTCAAATTGGAAATGCCTTGTGTGGGAGCAAGAGCGACAATACAGTCAATAAATGCATGGAATATAACTTGCCTAATGCTACAGAATATTAGCCCTACTACTCATCTGCAGCAAGTTTTGGTCTTGACCTGCTATGTGATTTGTGTTTGTAAATATCTGGAAACTTCACAGCTCAGAAGTTCTGGTTTTGGTTATTGGCTCAGGAGTAGTTCTAATCCAGATTATTTGGGTTAGATAGTAATAGAATTGGGCTGAAATATGTCCCATCTGTCTAGACCTGAGTAGTGTGCTGTAGATAGTAGAAACAAGTTTTGATTCTTTTGGGAATTACTGCAGGTGATTTTAAATCTCTATCAAATTGAGATAGCTGCATAGTATCAGGACTTTAGATCATGACTTTTGGTCCATGATGGCACTGTTGGGAATATCCAGCTCTGGGAGATAAGTAAAGGAGATTTTGCAGGTAGAAGTTCTTTGAAGAATAAACCAAAACATTTCACTACTCTAAGCAACTGTTGGAGGACGTTGACTTAAAAATTACAGTGATAGTCAGTATTCCTCATCCTCGAAGTATGTTTTACTGGAACAAATCCATGAGATTATTTAGTTGTTTTCAGAGGTATGACTGAGGATTGTCATTCTTGGTTCACTTGGCAATTTGCCATTTCCCTGTAGAATCTTGAGCTATAAGTTCTAGTCAAACAAACTCATATCTTTGCAGTCAGTTGATTTCAGAGTAAATGGGAAAATACTCTCACACCATTTTTACTGTATCTTTGTCTCAGGGAGTTTACAGCTTGCCTCCTGGAGGCTTAAACTTCTCTTTGATATAGGTAATAATGCTTGTTCTTTTAGTATGAATATTAAATAAAAAAACAGTCTTCAGAGATGTGATCACATGATCATAGAAGTTAAGAACATAGTAGTATGATTATGTTTAATGGTTCTGTGTTCTGCACATACTGGCTGTGGTAGAGATATTCTTGTGACCCACTCTGTCTCAGTGCTAACAGTAGGATAAGTTTCCTTTCTACTTCTGTTTACTTTAGTCTTTGCCATTTTTTTCCTATCTCCTGTTAAAATCAAGGTTGTCCGGAGTAACTGCTCTTGAATTAGAGCATGAGAGTGGGAATAGCTCTAATTCAGAATTTAACTTTCATATTGAAAGCTAAGGATGCTATCAAATTTAAAAAAACTTTCCACTCTTTCTTAACTGTAGTTATTGTTGCAGGTGGCATTCATTACTTAAAATTAGAATGATTTTAAGATTTTTGAAACTACATGACATAGTAATAGCTGCAGCTGCTTTTGAACAAGTGGAAGAATTTTACTTCAAATTCATGCTCAGTTTTTTTCTGTTTTACCTTTAAAATTGTGTTGCATTGTGTAGTATTGCATGGTGGCTAACAATTTATTTTGTAAAACAAGTGCTTTCTATCCTTTTATTATAGGGATGGTAGGATGCTGTTTGACTATTTAGCTGAGAAGCACGGGGTAAGTGTTGCAGCTGCTGGAATTCTGTTTTAAGTGTGTCCACCCTCACACCTGACAGCATTTTGACCAAGTATGGCCTAGCATTTTGGCCTGTCTCCTGTCCAAGTAGCTAGTAGGTAGAATTCCTAATACTAACATATTTAAGCCTTTGAGCTTCTAATTTTTAGAACAAAAAAAGAGCTGAAAGTTAATGCTGGCTGCACCTGTGTAACTTAGGTATGGCTTACTTTGTAATGCAAGATTTTACCTTTTTTTGGTATTGGTATAAACTTTAATTCCATGGCATGGCTTGAGAATATAATAGTTTTCTATTGTCTTTTCCTATGTACATTGTCTTTTGAAAAGCTACAGATTTCAAATCTTACTCTTCCATTAAAATCAGCTTGTGACAGTGTGTTTTTTTTCCTAGGAAATAAAAGCTTTTATTGTATTCCTTTTCAGTTTAGGCAAGAGTACCTAGATACACTCTACAGGTATGCAAAATTCCAGTATGAATGTGGTAACTACTCAGGAGCTGCAGAATATCTCTACTTCTTTAGGGTTCTGGTAAGTTTTGATTGGTTGTTGGTTTGGCATTTTGTTTTTTGGTTTGTTTACTTGGTGTTATTTTCAGTGAGATACTTAAACCGGTAAATTGTCTATATTCATTCTTAGCATATAATACTTTGTAGCTTTTTGAGGCAATTACTGTATGCTAAAGTTTACAGTAATGGTTAGTAATCATCACTATGGTTCAGCAATTCTGTTATTTTCAAGTAGAACTCAGAATTGTTCTTTGAAATTGTATGTCTTGTAACATTTAATTATATAATACAATGAAGTAAATACTTGTGTTTAAGAATACTTCATTTTGTGCACTGATGTAGTCAACAGCAGTGAAAAACTTGCAGGTGGATTGAATGTAATTACTGGTAATGGTGAACTGCCAGCTTCTTATCTGAACTCTGATCTGTTCTCTCTTGAATTCTGTGATGGATTTAAGAGTATAAATCATCTCCCTATGAAATGTAGGCAGCTCAGATGATAAATGTATAACCAGATCCATCGTCTCTGAAGCAACTCTTTTCATCTTGTTGTAATTCATGTCATTTGTTACTGGTGGGAGTGAATTTTGAGAATAAAGATTTCATGTCTTGTAAGAATCTCAGCACAGTGAATTTATTGTTGGTGGTCAGTGAATGTACTGCTTTACTAACAAATGGAAATTTAAGGTAACTGCCTGAAAATCCAGATAATGTAGCTGGAGCAGCTGCAGTACCTAAAAGCAATTATTGTGAACAGCTACCTGTAATTAAGTGACTTGGAATAGCACAGAGCATGTGAACCTTCTCAACTCAGTATCTGCTAAACTGGCACCTGGGTTGCCTGGAAGACACACTGCTCATAATTCAGTATCTCATAGATTTGTGCAGTAATTGTTGAAAACATGTAGTGTGGTTCATACCTTGTTGCTTTTTCCTTGCTTGTTTGTATTCCCATCTAAAAGTAATCTTAACTTTCTGAAATACTGCTAGAGTAAACCACAAAATTTTCTGTAATTGACTGTAATTAAAGAAGAAAAATTGGGAAATGTATCTTTGATCGGAAGAACAGGGCTTAAAGTACGAATGAGTTGAGTTATTAGTCTAAATTTTGGTGCTAAAGCTGACTTTGTGTTACAGGTTATTTTAATGTGCCAGCAGGAAGTGAAGGTTACATATGTAGGTTTGTGGGTAACTGCCCTTAATTCTTCATGCCTTTTTTCAGGGCATGGCATTATGTTCTTGTATGTCCAGTAACCTCAAAAAATGAAGTACTGATTTTGTGCTGGTAGTAGCTTAGTATAAAACTTTTGTTATTAATTCTCATAGGAGAAGATTTGTTTAAAAGCCCTGTGTGATGAAACATAGTCTGTGAAAGAACTATTGTAACCAGTCTGAGAACAGAATTTGACATTGTGAATGGCACAGTGCAACTCATTCCTGTGTAAAACCAGCAGCTTGACCTTAGGACTGCCCTTCCAGGCAGCAGGTTCACTGCTGCCGAGTTGCAGTTCCACTGGACATTGCTGTAACGAGTACACTTCTGGGCAAGGCATTAGCAGGAAGAGTTTGGAATGCTAGCTTTTTGAAGGTGATTACCTTATGAGTATCATAAGGTTACAAGTTCTTTAGGAACCTGCCTTGTAATAACCTTGTTTTACTAGTTCAGAAGCATTTTTTGTATGGTGGAACAAAAAAAAAAACCAATATAAATTTGGAACCAGTATGTCATCTGGTGCTCAACCTTTTTTTTTTTTTAACTAAAACTGAAGCAGCATAGATTTTTGTCTTTCCTAGTTTCTATTTTTAAAAAATTCATTGCTGTTTTTTTTCCTGTGTCTGAACTGTTTTTCTGAAAGAAAAACCCACTAAATTTGGAGAGTTAAGATTATGCAAAATTGATATCTTGTAAATGAAAAATACTGCCAGAAAATACTGTTTGAAATTTTAAAAGTAAATAATACTTTTTAACAGAATACTAAGAGTCTGACTTTGTTGCTATTGTTGAACATAGGTTCCAGCAACAGACAGAAATGCTTTGAGTTCTCTTTGGGGAAAACTGGCATCTGAAATCCTGATGCAGAATTGGGATGCAGCCATGGAAGATCTCACAAGACTAAAGGAGACAATAGATAATAATGTAAGTAAAATCTTGGACATCTTAGCAGTGTGAAGGGTTAGAGGTGTTAGTACTCAAGTTTTATTATAAATCACTTCCGATCTTATTTGGGAATAGGTTACCACCTTTTCACTTGATACTTTCTTATTGGCAGTGGGAAAGTCGAAGGGTGCTAGTGAAGAAATAATGAAACATTCTTTTTCAAATTGCTTGCCTCTTAACACCTTAGATTCTCATCTATGTTTTCAAATATATTTCCAATAAACAAAAAAATCTTAAGGATGTGTTTGAGGGCAAGGTATCATTGTGTGAAACTGCTGTTTAAATTTCGGATACTTATACTATTAATCTTCTGGAAAGAATAGAACACATGTGAATAAACCAGATTATCTGATGAAGACAGTGTTTTTGACAGAAATTGCAATCAGCTTGTATTTGGAAACAGTTTTCAGCTAGTGCAGCTTTCTTAACAAAACTCTCCTGAGTTCAGATGAGTACCAAGAACTGAAAGGGTGAGTGGGGCTGCAGTACTAATTCAGAGCAACTGATGAGATTAGGGACCTCTCAGTCTTCCTCTTTGCTTGTGGAGCTTCCCTGGCCATGTCAGAGATGTGACAGTTTCACTCTCCTGAACCAGTCTTGAGAAAACAGGTTTTTTCTGTCCCCCAGTTGTTCTTTGTCTATATGGCAGATTATTAGTGTTAACAAATTTTCTTCTGTAATTTTCTTGTCTTTTTGATTCTGTATGGTTATAATAGACTATTTGACTCTCTCGTTTGAATGCTCTCTGATAGCTTGATACTTTTCTTATGTTGTGGCACCCAAAACTTCACCCAATACCAAGGTGAAGCTACCCCAGTGCAGAACAGAACAGGAAATCCCCTCCCTTACCTGGCTGGTGATTCTGTGCCTGATGTCCACCAAGACACAGTTGGCCCTCCTGCCTGCCAGGACACACTGTCACTCACATTCAGCTTTTGTTGACCAGGAGCCCCAGATCCCTTTCTGCTCTCCAGCTTCTGATTCCCCAGTCTGTACACAGATCCAGTGTTGCCCTGTTCCAGATGCAGAATCTGACACTTGCCCTTGTTATACTTAATACAGTTGGTGATTGTCCAGCCTTCTGTTTTTTGTCAGGATCTCTCTGCAGGGCCTCTCTACCTTTGAGGAGTTAAGAGCTCCTCCCATTTTAGTGTCATCAGCAAACTTCTGTATACCTTTGAGTTCTGAATCTTACTTATGTTTTTTCTTTGCAGGTATCTCAATGCAATTCAGACAATGTGCCCACATATCCTCAGATATTTGACTACTGCAGTCATAACAAATAAGGATGTTCGTAAACGTAGACAAGTGCTGAAAGATCTAGTCAAGGTTATTCAGCAGGTAAGGACTGCAGTATCTGTTATTTTTTGCCTCCTTTTTAAGGAGACTTCATTATAACATTCTTCTAGTAATATATCTGGATTAAGATTTCAGGTATTTTGATACTTGTTTTTTGTCAATGAAAGTTTTTACTGAAGTAAAATGAATATCAGTCAGTGGGAGGATGAAATAATTATTTTTCTCCTTTCATATACATGAGCAGTGTATGTACACGTACATGCAGTAGAGTATGCATGCCGTTCTTACTTCCTGTATTATTACATGCTAAAAATTCAGTGAGTTGTGAAATGGCTTTGGACCCAATTCTTCTTTTTCAGCTATCTGTACAGTAAATTGTTGTATGAATAAGGGTTCTTTCTTACATTTCAAAACCACTGAATTGTGTGTGTTGATTTGAATTCACATTCATTCTCTTGAAAATGGTTCTGTTGTCACAGTGACATGAGGATGGAGATACAGAGAAGAGCAATAAAAGGATTGCTTGGTAGCAATCAACAGGGGTTTAAGGCCCAGATTTTTATCTGAAATGACCAAACAACTTGTATACAAACCAGTGCACTTCAAATACTTGATTATATTGTGAGTAATAAACATTGTATCTCTGTGTATATATATATATATATGACAGTACGGTTATTATAGGCTAGCAGTCAGTTATAACCACTTCAATCATTTGGGAAACTGTGAAAAGCACAGTCAATGCAAAGATCACATTTTAGCTACAACTTAATCTGTTTTTAAGCATTAGTGTTCACAAAAAGTATCATAAGCAATAAATCAGTGGTGTTGTGACTCAGCTTTTATCTAAAATCTGATTGTTACATTGAGCTTCTAATACAATATGAATTTCTAATACTTGAAGTAAGTAACATGTTAGAACTTCTTGCTTTTGTTTAATCATGCATACCATTGGGGTATTCATTTTGAAAATACCAGCTTGGGCTTTGGTTTTGAAATCGCCTATCGGATTTCTTAGTACTCTTCTAACTCTGTATGATTCATGATATTAAATGATGTGGTAGAGGTTTTATAGATTTGAAATAACTTGTAGTTCTGCTTTAGTAGCAGTAAAAGATTGTTTATACTTGCAACATCTTTGCAAGTATTGAACTGATAGTTAGGCAGTCTGTTTATTGAAATTGAAAGATGCTCATTCTTAAAACCATTTTGCAAATAATGGTTAACAGGTGCAATTCTGATGTGAAAAAGATGTATAGAACTGAATTTTAAACCTAAATAATGAGATTGTAAGTACAGTTCTTTGGAGAAGGAAATAATAACTGGTCCATAAATAAAAATATCTCCTAGGAATTCCCTTAGTCTGTTAATTTTTACTGTATGCTAAAGCAGATACTGATACATACTGATTTACGCTGTCTTGTAATATGCATTAGGAACACTTAAAGACATGTTTGTTACACCTGAATTTACACAATTGTATATAGATGTAGTGTTGTCTCTGCCTGGTAATTGAGAAAGTTGAGTAACTTCTGTAATGCCAAAATAAACCGAAGTAGTTCGTGTATAGAAAGTAGCATTTTTGTTAGCTGTGTTCTCTATGAAAATCAATTAATCATTCAGTTTCAAGTATGAAGGATTTCGTGTTGAAGTCATCTTTGAAATCAGAATTTAGGAAGACTATTCTATCTTATTTTATGAAATTTGGAGGTTTGATACAGAGACAGCTCTAGTCTCTTGACAGTTTCCTAGCCCAAGGATTGCAGCAATAAACGCTGAAGGTGAAACTGCACCTCTGGTTGTTTTACCAGACTGCTGGGAGGAAGCACATTTTTGTAGCTTTTATAAGAGGAATTTGGAAGTTCAGCTTTTTTTAAGGTGGTATATGGACTTGTTTCCACTATTAATTTTTTTTAAGACTATAAGGAATACTTGAGTGACCATGTGGCCTTGATTTCTGATGTTGTTCCTAATTTTTTTTTTATAGGAGTCCTACACATACAGGGACCCTATCACAGAGTTTGTGGAATGCTTGTACGTTAACTTTGATTTTGATGGAGCGCAGAAGAAGCTGAGAGAGTGTGAAACAGTAAGACTTAAAATATTTATAAGACTCCTTTTCCTTTAAGTAAAGAACTCTAAAATTCACAATGGACTGCTAATTTGTTTCAAGTGATGTTTGATTACATTGCCAGTGTTTTCTGATAAACTTAAATTCATGGTTGGGTGGTGTTGGGTTTTATGACAACTCATTTTGTAACACTTAACATGTGACTTACTGTTAAGGATATAGCTTTAATGTTATAATTAGGGAGTTCTAGAAGAAGAAGCAAATAGGTAATCATGCATTTGGCTGAGCTTCAGGTGTTCCATTAAAGTCCGAGAAATGCTTGAAGAAAAGCTCAGATTTGCCTTTTGTTGTGAAAGATGAGTGGGGAGTCAAATTTTGTGTTGAAAGGCTCTTCAGTGGTTAGGGCAGCAGTAGAGTTTGACCTTCAGTAGAGTTACTACAGCCTTACTCGCTTCTTGAGTCAGACCTCAGTGATCATGTTAGCGTGCAATTTAAATTTAGTAAGATGCTGAACCATGAAAAATGTTGTTCATCTGTAGCTTTTTTGCCATATCTTTGAACATAGCAATAATGTTTTTAGGTATACTGTGGGCTGCTCTTAGTTATTGGCATTATTTACTGGCAGTGTCTACCAGTAGGTTTCTACTGTTACGTTTGCTCTCATGTTCCCTTTCTGCTGATACTTGCAGGTGCTTGTGAATGATTTCTTCTTAGTGGCGTGCCTTGAGGACTTCATTGAGAATGCCCGTCTCTTTATATTTGAGACTTTCTGTCGCATCCATCAGTGCATCAGCATTGGGTAAGAGAATATCTTCGTTCCTCAGTTCAGAAAATCAGTCATGGAGGGCAGTGTGACAAACAGTGCAAACTTCAGGAAATATTCAGTTGTTAGGTAAAATCCTAAGGGAAATCTCATTTGCATTGTGTTCTTTCTAGTTTTATAACTCTGATGTGATTTACTTGAATTATATTTCAGAATTTAATTATTGTGTGTAACTTCAAAACAACATCTCTCTACCACCCCTAGGCCCCCCTCCCCCCCCCAAACAAGCAGTACTTTCAAGCTAAAACTGCTATGGTTTTAAGAGGGATCTCTGCTGGATTTAATAGGAACTTTTATACCTAGTGTAACCAAAATCCTGGTGACAGTACCTCAGTTGGGCCTCATTTGGGCCTCAATTCACATGTTGAGGTAGAGTGTTAATATTAAGTAAATGGAAACTGCAAATACAATAATTACTTAAATTTATTTTTATTTGGTAGATACAGATACCCATGTCTCTTACAGGTATGTTCTTTGAAATTTATTGAGTCACATTGCCTTTTTCATTAATTAAATAGAAAACAATGGATTTTATTCCCTGTGACACAAAGTGATTTAGCTGTAAGAATTGTTATTAGCAAATATGTTTGGTTATTCAGATTTATTTTATAAATGCAGGCTTTTCAAATAGATGAGCTCTGATGCCTCTTGTATATATATTTAAAAAAAAAAACAAAACTCAATGGGAAGATATTATGTATTCTTGAGATCTCTTTCCATTTGCCCACATTTCCCATATTTCCACATCCTTAAATTAAAAAGTAAGAAGTGAAAACTCTGAATGCTGTAAAAATCTCACTGATAGAGAGCAATGCAGAGATCCTTGAGATAAGAGAAATGAAGGCTGTTGAATCGATCAAGTTCAATGGAGTCTTGTTACTAGCTTGTATCCAGAGCAAGTAAGTGCATCTGGTCCTCTGAGGAAAGGATTTAACGCTGCCCAATTTCAAAGGAAAGTATTTGAGAGAAAATTGTCTTAATATTGCAGACTTCTTGGAAGGATTGCTTTTTTTATGGATAGTTATGGTTGGAAAAAGGACTGATTCTTACTACTTTTAATCTTCAGTCACTGGGTGACGTTTGTCTTCATTGCCTTTGGAAATTTTTTAATCCTTTGTGTCAGCTTAAAATAGTCAGTGGCTTTGATGTAAAAGGGAAACAGTGAATTTGAGCATTTTAGCCAGCTGTGGTGTATTGGCTTTAAGCATATAGTCCTAATAGGAAATGGAACTACATACTGTGAGCAGAGCTTTTCCATACTTAATATTTGTTTTTATAAGAGGGCTAATTCTTTGTCTAAAATCAGGTTAAGCAGAAGTACCGGATGCTTAGGCATAAAGGAGGTTTGAGGAACTATTTGGGGAAAAAAAAACCTGTACATACAGTGCTCTTAAGGATGAGTTTCTGGGGAATGTAAAGCCCAATAGTGTCTTGCTCTTTCTTAGAAATTCTTTTTGTGGATACTGCACATATTCAAGCACAAGCTGTCAATGAAACTAGATGTTTAAGCTTTTTTAACTAGAGACTAGATGTCTTTCCAAGAAGTCTCCTCTTACCTGACTCCAGTCAATGGGCAAAGACTCCACAATGTGTACATTAAGAATTTTTCAAGTCTTGCATCAAAAGATATTGATAAACTGTGGTCAACATACCAATGATTCATTATGGCAAAAATGGCAAGCTTTATCAAATTTTGTGTCAGGTAATTGCCATTTATTTGGTTTTTATTATTTACAGTAATAGTTCGTATTTTTTGTGCTGTGTGTGGTATTTCAGCTTTAGGTATGATAAAATGTTGTAGTTGGCTGTCCTTGTTATGTGTGAGTGGTTCCTAAATATAGGTAGAAGTGTCCTTTCTTTGTAAGCATTATAGTGTGTTCTGAGGGAAGTGATAGATTTGGAGTTGAGATGTTTATCTCAGAGTGACATGGATATTTCTACCATGTACCCCTAAGTTAATTGCACATGGAGTCAGTCATTAGTAATGAGGTGGTTCTCAGTAGGTCATTGTGTTTTTAATGATGGATATCAGCCTTAAATTTCTTTGCAGCTTGGAACAATAATTATATTTGGGCTGATTAATTTAGGTACATAAGTATTTTTTAGTGTATTTCAGAGTTGCTTTTGAAGAAATTAGCCAGTTGAAATGAATGTGTGGCTGAGACATAGTTCATGCATTTATTTGTTTGCAAGTGGTTTCCACTACTAATCTTGGAGCAAAAAACTAGATGGTTGTAACACAGTGCTTGATGAGAACTGCTTAGCTATTCAGAATGAATTGAAAAACAGTAGGAAACTTGCTATTCCTTGTATTTGCTTTATCAGTTGTAACTTAAAAGTTTGCACATCCCAGATCACCCTGTGATTGGTTTGCTGTTTGAAATGTCGTGTTTAATGGGAGTAATAGATGAAACTAATTCTATTTTAATTAGTTTGATATGCCTATATTTAATTGGAGAGCTGGATAGGCTTCATTCTTCTTTTGTACTGGACATAGAAGAAAACTTTATATAAGATGGGCTTGTTCATATATGAGCAAGTGAGGAATTCAGTTAGTTTGCCGTTTAAATAAATGAAAACTTAAATAACACTAGCCTAGCATGACCCAAATAAGTGAATTTCCATATAAAACTAGGGGACAGAAATTATTTTAAAATCTGCCATTTGAAATTAATTGTAACTAATGGTAGATTCTTTAAATTTTAATAGTATTTCATTATAATTGACTTTATTTTTTATTGAATTGTATCAGGAATCTTTATGAACAGTGGTAGCCTATAATACAAATTCTGTTGCATTCTTTCCTTAATGTTAATGATGTTAATATGTATTTGTAAATCTAAACGTGGCACTGTTACTTCAGCTGTCAAACTTTAATGATGCTAAGCTGCATTTTATACCTCAGGAGTTTTAAAATACATGTTTTACTGTGATAGGAGAATAGTGGTGTTTGTTACAGAATTATAATCCGGATAGATCATCTGTGTATTTGCTCTGGAAAGACAGAGTATACTTTTTTGGCCATGTGTGTTACTTTGCCAGGAAAATACCTCTATGTTGTACATCCATTCATTTTGGGTGGTCCTGGTTGCTTCAGGGTAGGCTGCAAGGAGACTCTAAGAGGGAATCCAGTTGTTCTTTATTTACTAAAAGATAGTTGGTACCTGATAACATCAGCTGTTTTGTACTAAAATGTAAAAATTGTTTAAGTCTCAAAGCTGCAAGGTGAGATAAAACAGATTTTACATCCTTTTTACTCTGTCATTTTCATTCTTTGATTTTTAAGTTTTTGAGACATATGTACAGGAAAATAATACTTGGGTTACTTCTGTTATATTGCTAGATAAATATTTTGTTTGTTAAAAAAAACACTTTTTAGTTAAAAAAAAGCCACTTCTGAAGCAGCTGAGCTAGTAGTAAAATGTAGATATAATAGAAAAAGGTAAAATTATTTGCTAGTAACAAGTGCAAAATACTTCATAGTTTCTGGCTTTGAATGATTCTCTAGAAATCTGTGCCCTCTTACTACATGAGGACTTTGTTAAGGAAAAAGGGAAGTGTAGGTGCTGTAGATTGGAACTCGTCTGTTTAATCCTGTGAACCCAGTTCGAGCTCTGAGCAGGTCCCACAGCAGTATTCCATTATGCTGCTTACTCAGGAATCCACAAGTAAATCCTCCTATCTCAATGGAGGTTCCACACAGTAATCCCAAAGCTCTGGGTTGCTTAATCCCCAGTGTAGTGGCAGTAGCCTTTCTTGTGGTCATCTGGAAGGGAATTGACTTTATCTAAGTCATACTAAGGTTTCTAAAAGAGAAATGCAAGAATTATACTCACCCCCATGTACTTCCAGTTTAAAATGTCTTTAGTTTCAAGTCCAGTGCTTAACATCACTGGTTGGGGGTAATAAAATTATTGTGCTTTTTTTGTATTAAAGTATCTCATATTCTGTCCAGGTGACTGATAATTCCACAAAATTTCCATCCCTAGTGTCTTCTGCTCTCTTCTGCCTTTACAATTGCTCATTCAAACACTTCTTACCCATTTGTTGTGTTATTTTGCTTAAATGAGTCAGTGTAAATCCAGTATTTTAAGTTATTTTGGGGTTTTTTCTATTCATTTCATGTTTATCTGTGGAAAAAAATGGAATTTGTCTTTATAGCTGGGAGAAAGGTAAGAGCTCAAGACCATATAGGGGAGACAGCTGTATAAAGAGGTAGAAGTTTGTAGAAGTCCAGTCAGGTAGATGAGCTAACACTTGATAGTCCATAAAGTATTTACTTGATGCAAATAAAGAGGAAAATCACTTTTGCAGGTGGAGAAAAAGATGTTTAGGCAAGATACTGTAAAATGGTGAGAAATTGACCCTTGTGCAACTCAGTGTAGCCAGCTGGCTTTTTAGTCATGCCTGTGGCCTTTACCTCATGTTTGTTACCTTAGTCTGCAAGCTGATGGAAGAATGAGCGTTACTGATGCCCTGTATGAGCCAACTGCCAGCAGGAAGCCGAAGGAGTTAGCTGGAAAACCACAGGAAGTGCTGTTAGGAGGAATTATTCCTGGACAAGAGTGCTTGTTTGATTAAGAATTTTCCTTTCTCTGTTCTCCCCCACCTTCCTTCCTTGAAGTTGCACAAATTTTAACATAGTGTATCTGTCATATCTTCTATACCAAGCTCTGTCTCAAGGGTCTTGTTCTGAACTTTGGAATGAAATTTTCTTGCTAGACATTTTTTTTTACTAGGTAATCCATACTTTCTTGACTGCTGATTCCATTTAAGTAAGAATAAAAGCAGTTTGGTGGGGGTTTTTTGTGTGTTTGTTTTGTTTGTTTGTTTGGGGGTTTTTTGTTTGGTTTTTTGTTTGTTTTTTTGTTTTATGATAGTGGTGCTGGTTTTATGTTAATAGTGAAATTACTTATATGACAGTTTTTCCAAGAATGTTTGTGTAGACAAGGTTTAATAGAAACATAGGAAAATTGTGCAGGTCAAGATTTAAAAGCAGTATGGTGTAGTTCAGAATGAATAGGTATATGCTTTGGGACATGAATTCCTTATTTGCAGTGGGGGTAGGAGATGTGTAGGAGAGCACGTATGTAATTTTTAAAACCATTTCAGTCCAATTACAGTAAGCTTCCCAGCTATGCAGCATTTATTGAATCTTGGACTGTGCCATATTTTGTGTTGGAATATGAACTTGTATTCCATAGTCCCTTGTTATGTTTACCAACATCAGAGAGATTGTTTTGCCATTTAATAAGTTGTTTATCTTTTAGTATGTTGGCAGATAAACTGAATATGACTCCTGAAGAAGCAGAAAGATGGATTGTCAATCTGATCCGAAATGCGCGATTGGATGCCAAATTGGATTCCAAGCTGGTAAGACTGTACATAGAATCATGGAGTGGCTTTTGTTGAAGGACCCTGAAGACTGTCTAGTTCCAACCCCCCTGCAGGGATGCCTCCCACTATACCAGATTGCTCAGAGCCTCATCCAGCCTGGCCTTGAGCACTTCCAGGGATGCAGCAGCCACAGGTTTTTTTTCTGGACAACCTGTTCTATCCTCATAGTAATCTAGTCTAAACCCGCTCTCTTTCATTTTAAAGCCAGATGGATCCAAGTGAATTTGTTGAGTTTTTAATTAAATTTATTTTACTTCATGGGCAAAGAAAAACAATAGAAATCAAAACTTTCCGTTCCTGGATAAACTGTGGTGGATTTCATTTTTTGTGTTTTGTGCTTGTCTGTAAGTCCTGTGAAAGTTCTGAAAGCAGAGTATTACATTAAAGATCCTTGCATGCTGAGCAATTGTTAAATTTGTTCTGTTTTTGCTGGGTTCTAGGGCCATGTAGTCATGGGCAACAATGCAGTCTCACCTTATCAACAAGTGATTGAGAAGACCAAAAGCCTGTCTTTTCGAAGTCAAATGTTGGCTATGAACATTGAGAAGAAACTGAATCAGAGTGGTAGATCTGAGGTTGGTATAAGTTTTGTTTTTCTGAATTCTTGCTGTCTTTTTTAAGAGAGATAAATTTAAGTATAATTCTTAACCTATGCCTTAATTCACCAGATGTGCTTACTCCTAGTTCTAATACTAGGAATTATGTTGGAAAAGACTTTGTCGTGGGGAGAATTAGACAGTGGTTCATGCTTTCTTTTGGCCTTTCTCTTCATCATTCGATTTTATGCTGTTGCATGACTGTTTCTGTCATTTGCTGCTCTGCTTCTTTTAAATGGTCTCCTTCACCACCAGGAAAGGGCAGATTATGAAGTGTGACACTTACGAAAGTAGTTATAATACTTTTCCAAGTGAGTTGTACTCAAAAGTATTGTAGGCACTTACGTGGTATTGAAAGGAGAATGAGTGGTGCTTGAGATTAGAGTATGGAGGAAGAATTGTGCAAAGCCCTGTTAAATCTTTTAAGTGAAATTCTAGAAAATGGTTAAGTCATTGAAAGGTTTAAGTAGAACGAGTGAAAATGAGACAGTTGGCTAGATGATCTGGTTTTGCTTCCCTCCACATTACAGTGTGAGAAGCTCTGTGAGGCAGAACAGCACTGTAATAGGGATGGTTCTCAGGCTCAGCCATACCTCTTTAAAACTAACAAAAAAAAATCAGAACAAGCCACACAGTAAAAGAGCTTAAGCATTGTAAGTTTTACTGTGCTGCCTCAGTGCTTGGCTGAAATACTGGTGGAAGTTGGACAGGCAGTGCACTATTCTGTTAATGGGAAGTTGTATGAAACGTGTGTCATTACTTTCTTTTAAAAATACAGCTGAAAAATTATTCCTATATTTATACTGGCATCTTCTAGAACTTCTTTTTGGAACTACTAGCTTGGAGGACTCTAGCTGTACAACTCAATTGTAGTATGTGTGTCTTTAATCTTTATTCTTATTGGGTATCCTTCATTATTAACAGCATTCCCACTGTTTAAATTAATGTGTTATAAATTTCATTAAGTGTTAGGTAATATAGTAATTTCTTCTAATCTTTATTCATTTTCTAGGCACCCAACTGGGCTACTCAAGACTCTGGATTCTATTGAAACACTTCTACAGTGGGGACAAATTTGTTTATTTGACTAAAAAGCACATAAATACGTAATCTTTTTGAGAAAAGTAATTATGTGTTAGGGCTTATGTTATTCAAATAAAATTGGCTACTTTTATTGGTCTGTGTGTGTTTGATTTAAATAGATTCTTATAAGGACTTTTTAACATCATAGTATTCTACAGCATTTTTGATCACATTTTGCAAAATTTAGGATGTCAGTGTGTTAGGTCTGTTTGTACCAAGGGATGCTTTTGCTCACAGGGCTGAGTTTGGAAGCAGGGATTTATAGGTTTTTAGTACCTCTTGCAAATGTTGCATGTTAAAAAAATTAGAAGTGTGTGGAACAAACAAATAGACCACGTTTGAACATGTGGTCAGCCAAAATGATCTTCTGTGCTTCCATGAGGAAGCATGGAAGAGTGAAGGCACTTGCAGCCAGTATCTTCTGTGAAACCTAACATAGTCTACATGTAGAATAATTTGACTAGACTTCTTGTGTTCATGCTTCAGAATTTCTCCTGTTTGAAATAATTTTTAATCTTGCCCTGTGTTGTAAACTTTCTGGAGTATTTTTGGTTGGGAGGGAGGATTACAAAAGGCCTGACAAGTGAGCTGCATATGGATTAAAACTTTCATTCTGAAATTTCAGGTTCTTAAGATGAATGATGCAAACATCAAGGAACAAAACTCTAGTTCAGCTGTTGGATTTTGGGGAGGGTTTGTAAGTTTCTGGGGTTTTCAACTAATGTTTCACACTTGCTTGGACTCCCTTAGCACCTTTGCACTGCAGAATATGCCTTAGTATCTTTAAGAGAAAATCACAGATGCTTTTTCTGCGTTCACAGGTATAGTGGCTGGTCACTGAGGTGAGTGTGGATGTTGGAAAGGAAGAGGCATTGTCACTGCATACAGTTTTGTGTTTAAGGTTGAGGGAAATGCCAGTGGCTCACTTTTAGCTTGTTCCAACGTGTGCCTTCTTCCCTCTTAACTCAAGTTCTGGGATTCATCTATGTGTGTAAAATTGTTTCAGCTTGCCAACACTGCTGCTTACTGTCTGGAATTATATGTTACCTGGGAAAGGAGAAACAGTTTAGTGATGTTCAGTCTTAAGGCTAAGACGAGTTTTACTGTTGTGTTACTGGGAAGATTCACAACAAGACAAGTCTTCAAGCTGCAAGGAGACAGGATCATTGGAAGTGGACACAAAACATGGGAAAAATCCAGTTAGATTTAATTGGGAATAACAATATTTTGTTTTATTACCTAAAAGATCATTAGGCACTAGAAGCAGCCACCCAGAAAGGTTATGCAATCTCCACCTTCGGATTTACTAAGTACCTCAGCACCCTGATAGACCTAAACCTGCTTTGAGGAGGGAGTTGAACTCTGGCCTTCAAAGGTCCCTTCCTTGGCTGAGCAACTGGAATTTAAAAAGTGGTAGCAATAAGCAGTTAAAAGTAGATTGCTGCTGGTCTGTAACCATGGTTCAAGAAAGCTGGTCTACAGCACAAGGATTCACTTTATGTACAGGATTGGTTCCTAGGATGGGGATGAAGAGTGAAACACAGCTGAAGTTAACAAGTAGCTTGTTGGGAGAGCAGTTTCATAAGGCTGAGCCTACTGTATGCCAAGTTCCTTATTCCCCGAGTTTTCTATCAAGGGATTGATTAAATTGCAATCTGTAGATTCACTCTATATTGTTACAGCCCCAAAGCAGTCACTTTAGAACAATCCAGATTGTGTAATAGCCATGTTCCCTGTTAACACAATCACAGAAGTGCAGTTGTGTAATAATTAAAGAATTTTTAAATGAGATAAAATAGGAATGTTTCTTTGTAAACAGCAGGGAAAGGGCCCACATGCAGCTTTTCCCTTTGGCTGGAAGAATTTACTTAAAAGTACAGATTTACAATAATCTCATGCCAGGAATGAGATACTATGTTATCATAGTTTTTGGTTCTCCGTGTTTTGGACCTTCAGGCACAAAAAAGGTGCATGCAGATTGTAGCGCTGCTGAAATACTTGTTAACTTTGTGTCATGTCAGTTCCATGAAGTTTTTAGGCTTGAGAATGTTCTGTAAATGTGAAAGCAAAACTTCCATTCAAAATGATAACAGTACCTTCTATAAAAGTATTGAGCAACAAAATGTTTTTCTGTCATCTCTACCCTTTAATTCTTGCACCACCATGATGCTGTATGTGTCAGAGGGTCTCCCATTAAAGATTTCAGTCCAGCTCACAAACCCCAACACTTATGATTCACATTCACTAAAGAAACAATCATTACTCTTTCATTTGGTCCTTAGGAAGCTCAAAGGGTGGAGTTTATTCAACTTCTGGATGTAAAACCATTGCTTTGTGGGTTGATTCTTTTTTTTTTTTTTTTTAAGGAGGGCGGCAGGCTAGGAGTTTCATAGTTTTGCACTGTCATTTAAATCCTGGTGCTGTCATCACTGATGATTATATGAACACAGATGGGTTTCAGGACAGGAATTCAAAATAATTCATACTGATTTCCAGAAGAGACATTTGCTAGTCAGTTTACTAATATAGAAATCTTGTAATGGGTGTAAGATTCAGAGCAAACTATATTCACTGGTGACATCTCAGGTAGATGTATTGTATGTAATGCTTCTCATTTTCTGAAATTGCAGTTTTAGATGAAAGGGGTTTTAAGCGAATTATTTATTTTTGGTACTTCTGTCAGTACCCCTCATCTCTGCTTAAAAGTTTAAAAAAATGTTCTTGTCACTGTTTAAAACAAAAAATGAAACAGAAGGGTGGTTGTATAGTTGGAGAGTGGTGCATGTGTTCTGAAGCCCACCTGCTGCTACACATATGAAATAATGTTTATAAAAATCATTCTTGTAAATTGATAGATATCACCTGATTTCAATGACTGAAAGGGAAATGCTTCATTCAAAATGTTGTTACGAAGGACTTTAGTTCCAGCTACCTCTTGGTGAAGTAAATCTGCTGTGCTTTCGGCAGCCCCGTAGGAATTCAGACTGCTGGGTTTTTCCTGTATGTCCCAATGCTGCTGTTCGGAGAGGAAAGCTTGGTTGAATCTCAATCCCCAAGAACAAGCCCTATCGTGGGCTCTCCTGCTGGTGCTGCAACAGCCCTTGGCTCTGCCAGCAGTCACCCGAGGGCTTTTCCGTGTGGCTGAACGTGTGCTTGGCTGGGACTGTCCCCGTGGTTGTGGGGAATGTGCTGCCTTCCCTGCCTGGCAATCTGCGACACCTTCACAAATAACTGAGTTATGATTGAATGACACAGGCAGGGGAGAGTAGAAGGGGGAAGGCAAAGTTTATTCTCAGGCAGAGGGTGATGCTGGCCAGAGTGTGAGTTTGCAGTAGGTTGGCAGTAGATGAAGCTTTCTTCAAGCATGACAATTGTAAATTCTGTCATAACTTTCCATTGACTAAGCTTTAGCAATCTCATTAGTAGCAATATTTTATAAACATCCAAGAATAGTTGTTCTCTAAATTACATGAAGATAAGGTCTACTTTGTGTCTCTTGTTTTGGCTTTGCTTTTACAAAAAAATATTTGTAGTAACTGCTAAAAGAAAACTTGGAAAGGGGAGAGGAAGATTGTTGTAAGACTTCCTTCTCTATGCTTTAGTTTTTGGAATGATGAAGGGTGAAAGATAGAGAAATATTGTACTTCTGCTCCAAGGATTGTTTTAAAATTAAGGGGTTTTTTTTTATTTTTTCCATAAACTTGTTCAGCAGATACAATGTTATAATATCAAATTTTCCCTCTTTTGGAGAATATAAAGATTGTTGTTTTCCCTTTAAGCAACTGTAAGATGTAAAACTATGATTGTCTGGGGGTTAAAATATTTAATCTGTCCTATTTAGAGAAGATGTGTTGTCATGTTTGCAATTATTTTAATAAAATTTTAATAGTTTCAATAAATGTCTTCTCAATTCCCATTGTAGAAATACCATCAGAAATTAAGCCTGCAAAAGCCATTCAAGGATCTTTAACAGGAGGGTTGTGGTAAGGCAACAGTGCTGCTTCTGGTAGAGAGTTCCTTTTATAGCATGTGAGAGTGCAAGAACTGTGTGAGGAACTTCCACTCTTCCCTGCAATTGTTTATGTAACCTGTAATGTCCAGGAGGGAAGCAAAATCAGATGACTGTAAGCTGTACATTAAAATAAAAGTTTTAACTAAATCCCACCTGTGGCTTGGAAAGGCAGACATATTTTCTACTCCAAGTTGTCACTAGGTTTTATAGCCTAAGACTCTGTTGTGCCAACAAAGAGCACTGACTGCTGGAATTGTTGTGAGTCAGAATGGGGAATGAGCAAATGTAGGAGATCAACAGAAAATGCCAAGAGCACAGAGGGGCTCAAAAGTGGACTTGGCTTTCCTTGATCATTTTGTAACTCAGCAGAGGATTGGTGTATGAGCTATCTTTGTAAATAAACAAGATAGCAACAAGCAGGTGCCTTGCTCTGTACAGCAAGACTTCTGAGGCCTGTGGGTAACAGCACAGTAAGGTGATTAGTACCAAGAACTGGCTATCCAGGAACTATGTGAGGTGCATGTGAGCTCCCTGCAGCTGGATTCATGACCAGGAGTGTCCTTAGAAAGGATGGAAACTGGCAATAGAAGCCAAATTGTGAAACAAGTTCCTTGCCATGTATGAGTAGCCGGCTGATTACTTGTGTCATGCAACCCTGGCTAAATAAAGTGTAATTTAAAGATGTGAAAATGCAAATCTGCAAGCCTCTTAATACTTTCATTTTGTGTGAGAATGAGTAATGTTTTGCCAAGAGCAAAACCACCACTGATGTACAGCTGTCCAAAAATATAGCTCTCCATTAATTGTTCACACAGAGGATGCCTATGGCTTCTTAGCAGCCTGGGCAAAGGAATAGGCCACATAACCACATCTTCCTTGACTTCACAGCACACACAGCTTCAGAAGTAGTCTGTTTGTTTCTTGCTCAGTGCATCCTCAGTGATAGGAGGATATTTTGAATGAAGGGTAATGAATAATCCATATCTCCTCTTGTAAAAAAGTACGCTGCATGGTAGCAGACTAGACCAGGCATGGCAGGCCTCACCCATCTGCCCTGTGCCAGTAGAAAAGTCTAAACC